CACACTGGTAGTGTAGTAGCAGTTTTACGACATACAAACAAAATTTCAAAGACAGCAGCAACGAATCGGCAGTTTGACGGACTGCTTGTTGTATGTACGAGGAACGTTACGAATGACCATCCGAGGCTGTCATAGCCGAACGAACAAAATACATGACTAAGAACAAGCTGTCGTGAACAGCACAAGACGGCAACGTTGCATGTCGTATAAAAGCCTCACTGTGGGCTGTCGCTTATAGCTCAATCTCAAGGCTGTCGTAGGAAAAAGAAAGCGACAGCCGTTGGAATACTGTCATGAGGCGGTACTTTTGGTATGCCTGCTCCTCTCCCCTTCCCTGGTGTATTATGGATGATGTGAATATTCACATCGGTGACATGGTCCCTGACCCCCTTGTGCATCATAAAATGAAAATGAAAATGAAATGCTATGAAAATGGCGGGTGTAATTTCGAAAACTTCACATAAGGACAGTGGTCTTCAGAAACATTTCGAGAACTTCATAGAAATCTATAAAGCTTAAGGAGAGATCCGCGAACTTCAGACATTTTTATGAACGTTAGCAACATGTGGGAAAACTTGAAAGAAGTTTAGTAAGCTTCTAAACTTCCGACAGCTCCGAAATCCATTAGTTTGAGAAATTTAAATCAGTTCCCAGATGTTCAGATTACCTCAGGGACGTTAAAAGGTTAATTGAAGTCTGCGCATAAGTTCAGAAGTTCACGGAAACTTAAACATTTTTAGGACAGTTCAACAACAACAAGCTTAATGAGAACTGCAAAAACTTAAGGGGAGTTTTGAGAATTTCAGAATAGAACCAACAATCAATATGAAACTATCGATTTGAAATTGGCTCACTACTTGACTAGCCTATTGGTCCCAAGCAAATCGATTAACGTACCCCATTCTAGTCAAAATTCTAGTACTACACAATGTTTGTTTTGATTCGCTATGAAAGTTTGACAGATAAAATGAGGGGTTATTTGATTTTCCTATGTTTCGAGGGGTGAATCGATTAGCTTGGGACCGAAGATTGTACCAGAGCTGAGCCAAAAAGTAGAGCTCGTTTCTTCGGGACCTACTAGTCTTAGAGTTACCTCTATGATAGAACAGAGAACCTCAGAGCAGTTTCGTTAACATTAGAGAGGTCACATAAATTTTAAAGAAGTTTCGAGAACTTCAGCGAATTTTTAAACCTTTAGAGGCGATCCATGGTCGTTATAGAAAAATTGAGGATAATTTAGGTAGCTCTATAACGTTCAGGGAAGTTTAGGAATTTGATGAGAAGTATTGTGAGCCAGGACAGTTTCTCAAACTACAAAAGAACTTCAAGGCAGTTTCATTAACTTAAGGAAAAATTTAGGAACATTCAAGTAGTTCTGAAGACCTCAGAATAGTCCATTCCATATTCAAACGGAGATTTCCATTGAAATATTCCTCAAAGTTTCGATGAAACTATCTTTTGAATTCAATTTTCTTTTAGTTTTCCTTGGAATTACCTTGAAATTCTCCATAATAAGAAACCATTTCGAAAGAATCTCCTCAATTTCACTCCTTCCCTTGGAATTCTACTCACATTGAAAGTCTCCTAAGAATTCATTGGCATTTCTCCTAAAAAATTCCTTAGATTTCTACTCATAATTTGTTTGCAAACTCTCCTGAATTTATTTTCAGAATTCCTTTGAAGATGTCCTGGAGTTATTCTTAGATTTATTTGTAAAGGGTGTCCACGATGAAATTGCCACACTATGAAATTGCTCTAACTTTTTAACCGTTGGGTAGAATTTAATGAAAATTTGGGTGGATTTAGTTCATAGTGCATTATTTACATCCTGCAAGTTTTAAAGTCCTGTGATCAAAACTCGCGGAAATGGAGTCGAAAGAACAGCTCGTGCGTGATAAAATCTTGCGCATTCATCACGAGAACAAGGATCTCTCGCATCGTTCCATCGCTAAAACGTTGGGAATCGCGAATTCCACGGTGTCGCGAGTGATTAAGCGGTTCGAGGAACGGTTGACCACCGATCGGAAGCCCAGAAGTGAAGGAAAAAGTATTCCGTACAACACCAAAAATCACAACCACGTAGTTGGGGCCTTCAACCGAAATCCTAACGCCTCCGTTAGGGATGTGGCTAAGAAGCTGCACCTAAGCCGAAGTTTTGTCCAGAAGGCCAAAACTAAGGCTGGGCTTCGAACGTTCAAGGTACAAAAGGCCCCTAATCGCGACGAGAAGCAGAACAAGTCCGCCAAAACCCGTGCCAGGAAGTTGTACCTCAACATGCTGACGAAAGTTGAATGCTGCATCATGGACGACGAAACATATGTGAAGGCCGACTTCAAACAGATCCCCGGCAACCTGTTTTTCACGGCCAAGGATAAGTTCAGCGTTCCGGAGCATGTCCGCACTCAGAAGATGTCCAAATTTGCGAAGAAATTCCTGGTTTGGCAAGCCATCTGCACGTGCGGGAAGCGGAGTGCACCTTTCGTGACCCAGGACACGATGAACGGACAGGTGTACATAAAAGAGTGCCTCCAGAAGCGGCTGCTTCCTCTCCTGAAGGCCCACAACGTCCCAACAATCTTCTGGCCGGATTTGGCCTCATGCCACTACTCCAAGGACGTACTGAAGTGGTATGCGGACAATAAGGTCAATTTCGTGCCGAAAATGTTCAACCCTCCCAACACTCCGGAGCTCCGCCCCATCGAGAAGTACTGGGCGATTATGAAGCAGCACCTTCTTAAACGACCTAAGGTAGTGAAGACAGTCGAGGAACTGAAGAAAGTATGGGTTTACATGCAAAAAACGGTTGATTCACAGGTTGTGCAGAATCTTATGGCCGGGGTTAAGGCCAAGGTGCGGGCATTTGCGTATGGACTGTAAATAAAATACGAGTAAAATGGTAAAATGAAGTTTAATAGTTATTTCTCAATCCCTGAAAATTTGATGGCAATCGGATGAAAACTCGAATTTTGCGAATCAATTTTGTGTGTGGCAATTTCATCGTGGACACCCTTTAATCCTCCTTTTAGTATTTAAAAAAATCCAAGTTCGTCTGCTACGGATTCGTTTTCTCCCACAAACTTTATGAAATTATCTTCAGAATGCCCTTGGAATTTTCCTCTGAAGTTCACAAAAATTCCTTAGAGTTTTCATTGAAATTTACTTTTAATTCAATTCAGAGTTTCTTGCAATTCTACTCAAAACTATCAGGCTTCATATGAAATCGAAAATTCTTCAGAACTACCTTGAAAACAGATTACATTTGATGTTTTTTTTGAAAGATTTTTTTTTCCAGAACTCCCTTGGAATGAGGTCTTTAGAAATTATAATAAAATTGGAATTTTACTCCAGATTTTTGAAAATTTCTTTGAATATAATACTTCAAAGAAATTTTCAAAAGTCCAGAGCTAGTTCAAATTTAAAATTTGTGGAAATATGGAAGTTCCAAAACAAAAAAATAAATACATTTCAAGCCGCTGATTTTTTTAAACTTTATGTGTTACTGAAGATTAATCCACTATCTATAAAGTCCCTGAGCAAGAAAATCTGGAAATTCACTGGGTGGTGGAAAATTTTCAAACATGATTTTCTTCATGCTCTAAAACTTCTTATATTTCACTGGAGAAAATTTCCGGTCATATCTCAATGACCGAAAAAAAAACTTTAAATTGTCAAGTAAGAAAAATGATATTGAATAAAATATTTCATAACTCGGAAAATGGTTTTCCCTGTTTTTTTTTGCGGTTTTCCTCCACCGTGAAAATTTGCATGGAAAACATTTTTAATTTTATATTTTTTATGAATTGCTGAGATAATTTCCTTATCATTTCACATGAATATCTTTTATTCTACGATGCTTGGTTCATGAGTTATGGAACTGGAAAAATTAAACGCCCGAATTTTTTGAATTTGTTTTTTCGTTCATATAACCACAAACTCTACCTGTGGACAATATTTCATAAAATTCAGAGACCATTCAGCCCAAACCTGTCCAATAATTTTTTAAATCCTAACTTTCAATATATATGGAAGACCCCCTTGAACCAAAGTTTGGTAATAGATTTTCGCTGATACTTGGGTGGTCGAATTTTCAATTAATAGGTGTGTGGCGTTCAATTTTTTTTTTAAATTAATATTCCGTAGTTTACTCGATTTTTATTTATTTGTCCGTTCATTGTAAAAAGAAAGCATATTTATTTACAGTCGATTTTTTCATCGATCATTCTTAAATTATAATGCTTAAATTTAGTCCCCTTCTTAAACATTGTTTTTTTTTTTGCTTTTTTTCAATTCATTTTTAATTTTATGATTTTTGTAAGCGATAGAAAAGTAGTTTAACGCAAAGGAATTGATAACAATAAAGCTGATGGAGAAGCAAACAATGGAAAACGATTGAGCGTGCAAAATTGAAATTGAAGCACCTAAATACAAATACATATATAACAGTGCATTCCTTTTCAAATGTTTTATTATTGTTCGCATTCCCCCGAAAAATTAAGATTCGCTCAGGTAAACATTTGCCGATCCATCACCCTCTGTATGTGTGATGTGATTTACTACCTCTCGTTTGGCTACTCTGTAGTTTCGGGTTCAATACTTTTAAGTATCCTTAGCCTCGAACCGGTGGTGGTGTTTTGGTAGGTCGGTGTGTGGAATTTTCTTAAAATAGAACCACTCTCTCAACCTCGCCGTCCTCGTCGTCTTCGTCATCAGTTTTGGAATCAGGTTGAGTATCTCCGTTCGCTACTTTTGATATTGCGATCTTACCTATTCTTAGACGTTCATCTCTCCGACACGAAATGATGAGGATTCATCTCCAGAAAATTTAGCGCAAATGAGTCACTTTCGGCCATTCTTGTTTTCGACGATTTGCTAAGTGTAGTAGTAGGCAATGATTTTTCCCCTCTACACAGCAAACCAAGCAAGCGGTGCGCTATTCAGTTAGAACTAGTAAATTTAAATCACCATTACGATGACACTAGCAGGCCATGAGCAGTTCATTTTCGACGAGGGGTTGTTGGATTCTCTGTTGCATCTGCTCTAGAATTAAATACAGCAGTTTGGCGTATTTTGCGATTTTCAAAAACTAAGTACGGCACGTTTGTAGTTATAGATGAATTTCAGTTGTGTGTATGAGAGTTGTTTCAGTTATAGAAGCGAAGAATGTTGGTCGTTGGTAGCTTAATTTCCTCCCAGTGGAAACATTTTCTTGAACACTTGTAGTGCGGATTGTCTATCCAGCGGGCATGTTTTGTAGATATCATCACAGGATCGATTCTGTTGCGATTTCCCATTCTTGATAGCTTCCTTGATTGCAGTTCCATCCAGCATGTAGTCCACAAGCGAGTTCCTATCCGGACAAAGTTAATTAGTCATAAGTTTTGAATTATATATTTAGGGAGTAACTCACTCAGACAGGGCCAACATCATATGCTCAATCTGATCGGCCGTTCCCACTTGCATATGGTAATCCGACGATCGCACGTAGGTGCAGATGGCCTTCTGCATACACGAACCCGAATCGATGTTGTTCTGTGCCAGCAGGTCATCTACCTTGCTCAACATTTCGGTGAACCCGGTTGGATCACTGTCGACGCTACGGTAGTGTCCTCCGTAACCTCCGCCGAACGCCGACACCAACTTGGGTAGGATTAGCAGAGCTCCGATACCAACCAGCGTACCGAGCACCACGCCACCGAGGTCGATCTTGAGCGGAGCGTAACCTCCCACACCGGAACTGGAATAGCCGTACCCGTTGAGGCCACTTCCTCCGTATCCGGTGGTTAACCCGAGTCGTTCGGCACGATCATTGGTCGCTGATGCTTCCGAGTAGGAGGTTTCGTTCGGTCGACGCCAATTGTTGCTGAGAATTTTGCGGAGATAGTTGGATGAAATTAAGTACAATCTTGGACTAGAGCTATGCTAGGCTACTATTGGCTGGTGATAGATCCAGGATTGAATCTCTAATTTATCTATGCCAATGAGAATGATTAAAATTCGGTTAAGCCTGAGGTCAAGTGATATGCCCAAAATAGGAGCATAGGCAAACATTTGCATCCCTTGATTTTCAAATGCTATCAAAGTTTATCCATCAAACTGGCTATGAAAGAATGGATGTAACAGAACATTGGATGCAGAGTTATCAGTAAAATTGGGTCCTTATAAATTGCAATAAATGTTCAGATAAAGCACATTGCCCATTTTATCACTAACTGTAGTACACCAATGATGACCATATTTAATGTTTCCCAAATTGATTAATGAAAACTGGGAAAACTGAAGCAGAAATAAGAGAAGGATACAATTAGTTATTTATTATATATTTATTAGATTGATTTTCAACCTTTGGCTGGTTCGTCTCTTGACGGAATTCAATCATTCTGAAATTAACTAGCATGCAACAGATTTGTTAATGTTTTCAAGCTTATAAGAATCAATTTCGATTGAATCAAATCTATTTTTTTCTTTCACCACTTATTTTGTTAAGCAACAATCTAAATATTCCGATGGAAAAACTTCAACACTCAGTTTAAGACCAAATCCATGCATTGTTTTAGTACCTTTGAGCAAGAGCACACGCAAGCCCAGCTAAGCCAACCACCACGAGAACCACTACGTTTTTGCTGATCATCTTCACGCTTTAAACGAAACCGAAAAAAAAATCACAAACTTTATCACAATGTTAGTCCTTCGATGTTCCTCGAACACCAGTTCTAATCACACGTACAAACTTCAGTTCTTCTACCGAAAACCCAGGAACTTCTTAGAGCTGTTAATGTTACCGAATCGAACGCACTGACTGTAATGAATCAAACTCCCTAATCAAATCACATTTTATATGAAAATCATGTCACAGTTTGCAAGATTTGAACAATAGGCCACCCATCCCGAAGGGTTGCTATTTTGACTGGGTAGTAGCGGTAGTTGGCTATGTGTTGGTAACGTAGCAACGACGACGGAGGTAACGAAAAGTGCAAGTTTTTCGAGTGCTGAGGATAGTAGGCGGGTAAGGGGACTCCTTCTTGCGTGAAATTTGCCAGCACTTACCGCGTTTTGCTTCAAAACTCCCTGGCAACAGTAATAACAACAACTGGAGATGAACTATTGTCGTGCGGTGGCTTCTTCCTACAAGACACTTTTTTGTTCGCTTTCCATGTATGTAGGAGGTATGTACAAGTTACCTTAAACCACGTGAGCGTTTAATTTAAATTACGCTTGTTTTTTTTTTTTTATGGGTAAATTGTGTAAAAATTTGCATTGTCTGTGCTTCTCGTTTATGTCACATTTAATGGCAATAGAAGCGGTAGGGGAAGAACTATGATGAAATATGCAGAGTTCACGGTTCCGCGTTCGAATCTATGTTAGCGCTTCTTCTTGTTTTGGTTGAGATTTATCACTTTTCACAGTGATTTTCGACAATTGAAAACACAAGGTGATGGAACATGTTCGTTTGAGCCGCGAAGGTGACAACTAATTTAGCGTCAGTTTACAATTGCTTGGAGGACAGAGAAGACTGGTGATCATGGGAAAGGATAAGTTTGGCTGTTTGGCAAGTGTCGTTGGAAAAATAGTTGCCATTCTGAACTTGCACGTCCATGGATGCGAACTCATACTGCACTGGCCCGTTGAAGTTCGTATGGGAATTACTATGGTAAAAGTTATTTTTTTGTTCTCATTGTTCTAGCCCTTCGCTGTAATGATCTATGGGAAAGTTTGCTATCTGTACTAATGTGAATTTTTTCCAGCTACAACTTTGCTGAAGACCGCATTTTAATTGAACTCCAGGATAATTAGTTAATTTTAAATTATGAAGATTGTATTTTTCTGACATGCTCCATAAGCTGTTTAAGAAGCCATCATTGGTGTGCTTGGCGCGAAGAATAGGGCAACAAATTCAGGCTACTATGTCGTAAGTGCAAACCGCAGTGCTGCCCTATAAGCAGGCGATTTTCATATCAGAAAGTCATCGGCTTCCAAATCAATTAATAACTAATTACCTTGAAGTCTAATCAAAAAGTGGTCTTGAGCAAAGTTATAGATTTCACATAAGATCATATAGAAAGCCTTTCCGTAAATAATTCTGGCAAAGTTGTAGGGTGTTAAGAACAATAACCAGGACCTGATCTAGAATCAGTTGAGCCTGGTGGAACAAAATCGATATTTGAACCACCCTAATATCCTTCCATATAATTTAGACAATGAATACTTGTCGTGTTAAAAGGCATTGCTGCTGTTTAGGAATTTAGAATTTGAGCATGCTTTCTTTTTGTTTTGGTTTTTAGCATGGATTGGTCAGGCAAACTGATTAGCGGAGGGATGCTGTAGTAATTCATTCAAGAAATGAAATCAAGCTCTTTTTAATTAATAAAAAAGAAATGAAATAATGCTCTTTTAATAAAAAAATATGGATTTCTTTATTACAATATCAATGCTTAAGTGATTTTGCTAAGAGATTTAGCTGTGCCGAACGTGCCCGACTGTACCAATCAAGGTGTCAATATCCTCGAACTTTGCCAACCCTGAAGTTATATTTTTTTTTTCCTTTGGTTTGTTTTTTCCGTCGATCTTGTTTTCCATGCTGAGCACCAATGCTACCGACGTGCTAGGAAGGCAGCTCCCACACCTGGACCCTACCTATCGACCCATCAACTCATGAACCGGGGACCAACGGCTTTACTTCCCATCCGAAGGAAGGCGTGATCAGAGATGTTATGCCTCAGAACATCCCGGCGGCGCCGACTGGTATTGAACCCAGGCCTGCTGGGGTGAGAGGTAATCACGCTTACCACTACTCCACCGGCGCCGTTATCTTGAAAACGTTAAAAATGGTCTAATAATAGTCACAACGTCTACAAACACCAAAATGTTTCGAAAGCGCCCAAAATGACCATAGAAAATTTGGAAAGGCCTAGAACACCCAACATGGCTGCAAAAACTGAAAAATGATCTTTAAGGGCTTCAGAACTGTCAGATTGGCTCTAGATTTAAAATTAGATGATAGATTGCGTTAAGACGTTAAACCAGGCTGCACACCGCAGACAAATAAATTCTTGAATTAATTTGAAATACTGGCTATTTCAAGAAATTTAAAATAAATTGCTTAACTAACACCAAAACGAGATCATGAATGATACCGTTTGATTAATTAGAAGACAATTTATATGTCGTCTTGTTTTTAAATTGAGATTTTTTTTTTCCAAACAAAATGTGAAAATTTGAAGTTAGGGCCCATGCATTAATTATGTCACGCTAAATCGAGCAAAAAAATAACCCCTCCCCCTCCTATCGTGACGTTTTTCCTATACCTAATGCATTGCTTGTCACAAAATCTTAGACCTCCCTCTCCCCTTAGAGCGTGACATAATATATGCATCAATCCTAGTAGTGGCCCACCTACGGACAGCCTGCGACCAGTGGGTCACGACCCATAGATTGAGAAACGCTGGTCTAGTCCGATGTTGTTATTTTCATCCTGAAGTGAAGATTGACGACTGCCAATAAAGTGCGAATCCTTGAAAGAACCGTCAGCAAAAAACAGTGATGCCGTTGTATATTACATGTTGTGCCATACTTTTCAAAGTGTACCCTAACCGTGTGCCGATCAGAGTGCCGTGTTGTGTTTCGGCACAGTGTGCAACTTTGCTTACCCCTTGTATTTTATTCTGTTTTGCCATAACCTTCAGTTTGAATACAATTGTGATATAAGCTACAACTGGTAATTTTTACAATTCTGAGTAAATTTTTACTCAACTGTGAGTTGTGTTCGATAGCCTTGTTTATATTGAGCTGTCAACTGCTAAGCGCTCAATTTACAGTGTACTAGTCACCTTTCGTGTCACTAGTTGCACTAGTTTCGGCAAAGTCGTGGGGATAATAGGAGAGTGGACCATATTGTTAATTTATACTATTTGAATTATGCAAAGATTCATGCACATCGGAGTGGGTCGCGTTTTTTTCCGATTCATCATTTGGCTGCTCATCCTTTATGTGTTTATAATTAACATATGTTGTACCTTCGACAATGACAATACACGACCATAGAATTAGACGAAAACAATTGCATGGTACACGTCAATGCCATCCAAAGGTACCATTAGATGTCATCAAGATCGTTTCAAAACATTAAATTGTAGGCAGCTCACAGAATTCCAATTAACAGCGATGCTTCAAGGCTTCTGGTACATTGTATTTACTCCAGAGGTGGGCACTAAATTATGTTTTCTAATGCTAAACAAAGTTTTGTTCAATTGTGCGTTATATAATTGGTAATAGTCAGTGGTAACATGTTAATGATTTCAGTTTTGTATAATTTAAGTTCATCAACATAAAGTGTGAGGTCGAAGTGTGCCCCGAAGTGTGCCGTGGTTTTCCGAGTTTTATCTAGAGACGATTTTTCAGTTTTGCTACTCGATAACATTTGTTAAGAAAAGTTCAAGAATGCAGGTTTTTGTGGCTGAACAAAAAATATTTCCAAGAGTAGTTATGATCTGCTACTAATTTTTCCGTTGTTTTTCATTCCATCGGAAGTTAAGTATTTTCTCCTGTGAGAAAAGATATTCTGTGTATAATGTGAAGTAAATTTTCTTGTGATGATTTGTCAACTGTTCAAAGGAGTATTTAGATGCCACGATCATTCAGCTACCGGTTTGATATTGCTTTGTTATCAGTAACTTGCAACCGACAGGACGGAATTACTGGAAACATTGGATTCATATGGTGAGACGTTTCCATTATTAACATTTTATATATACACACTAAGATTTTTTTACAGGAGTCAGTATTTTTGACTGGGTTTTTGAATTGCTGAAAAAAGTAGAAGGGTCTGTGCCTAGGGGCACGAACGGAAGCTTGACGTAGGACCGCTAGTGGACGGAATAAATGTGAAGAGCATTTAGTTTTTGAATTGATCAATTATCTATTATCTCAACTCTTTCCGTTTTTTATTTGGGAGGCGTACCAAATTTGTAGCAATCTTTTTCAAAGAGAAAGTTGATTAATAGAATCAATCAAAATCACTTGCACCCCGCTTCCAAGTTTGGTTATAAGATTACAACTATGGAGAGCATTTTGTGTGGTCGTTGGGGGCTTGTGGTTCTGAACATGGACAAACAAGCACAGATAAATTCTATTCCAACTCTTTACTGATGTAAGCTTGATGGCCCTAAAAAGGGCCGCTTGGCACCTCCTATACCAGACCTTTTCCTCCTTTGCCACGACCAGTCAATTGTTGCTTGTTAGGTGTGAAGGAGTGGACTAGCCACCACCTTCCTACTGCTGCTATTGCTGTTCACCACGCCGTCCGAAGCGAAAATGAGCTAATGCCATACAGCAGCGCTCTTTTATATCTTTTCAGATTAAAGCAGAATGATGTGCAACCAAGTGGTATAAAAGCTACAAAGACTCCTCCCATTATGAGTAGTTTGCTATCAAGTAGCTTAGTTCACTCATAATCGACAAAAGTGCAGGAACTCAGCGATGGAACTTGTCTCATGGTTTCCTGTGGGAAACCTAAAAAATCTGCCCGAAAATGAGGAAATTGACGAAAATTTTATTCAGTCTCGGAGTAGTACCAATAGACTGAGTGAATCCAATCTTTACTTTTCTCAAATTCGGGAATTTTTCCCTGGAAAATCCTGGAAAAACCTGGAAAAAAATGAGGCGAATTTACTCATCGCTGAGTTCCTGCACTTTATTTCTTATTTCTGAGATAACTAAACTAAAATTTGGGTCATTCTCATTCGCCGTGATACCACCTTGAAAGATATCGGTGCCGGTGGTTAGCGTGATTACCTCTCACCCCAGCAGGCCTGGGTTCAATCTTAGTCGGCGCCACCGGCATGTTTGTTCTAAGGCAAACATCTCTGATCACGCCTTCCTTCGGTTGAGTTGATGGGTCGATTGGTAGGGTCCAGATGTGGGAGCTACCTCCCTGGAGTCGGTAGCATTGGAGCTCAGTACGGAAAACAAATCTCGCGTCACTTTTCAATAGGTCCTATCTACATTGATCGATTCTCTTCATCGACACTCTCTTTCGTAAATAACTCGGCTTCACAAATGTTTCCTGCCGTCTTCGTCGAATTAGATGCTAGATTGTTGCTTCTCCCATCGAAAATATCCGGCCGTGGCGATTCAAAGTTGATCAAGGTTGATCAAAATAATTTGTACCCCTGCTTCCAGTTTGATTACATGAGCATTTTGTGTGATCGTTGGTTCTGAATATGGACAAACAGGCAGATGAATTCTATTCCTACTCTTTACTGTAATAAGCTTGGTGGTCCTGAAAAGAGCCGTTTTGTTGCCAAAGTTGGTGATGATTTAACCTCCGAAACCAAAAAGAGTGCGTCTCTGTCACTTCAAAACGTAGATGACATCCATGGCTGCTTACGCTTGGCGTGTTTAGTGTAGGTGACAGCATCACGGATCTCATTTTTCAGGAACACCTTCAGCACACCTCGTAAATCAGACCGGAGATACGTCAGACACCGCCACGGCGAGCCAGACGACGGATGGTAGTTATCTCTAAGAATTTGCGTTTGGTTCTGAATATGGCGATGAGTGTGCAAAATATTACGCATTTCCTTTCTCCCTATTCACACGCGCCCGAGGATTGGAGACGAATGCCACTTCGACTTGTTTCGTCTACTTACTACTCTCTGACGACTGTGCTGGGGAAGCAGCATATGCATGTGGATTTGTTAGTTAATTCAACGCTTTTGGACAATTCTGGACATTTACCAGTTATTCAATAGTTTCTTGTTGAAAATAAATATTCGGAAGCATTGTTATCGATGCGTAGCCATATTTATGATCGATTGGTGATAAAGTTATTGAAATTGGACCAGGGGCAGCTGATTTATTAACGTTCAAAATCTTTCTTAATTTGTTACATGTTCCATTTTCGTTTTTCACAAAGTGTACCCCCATAGATATAGAAATCAAAGACGTAGTCCTACGTCAAAATTGGTAAAAATTCAATCGACCGTTATGCGTAAGGAATCAATTAAATCGACCAAGTTTATTTTCTATCATTAAATGGGGTTAACAGAACTAAGTCTGTACAAGTTCAGAACAAATTTTCTCATAAATAAATTTTCCACAGATTTTTAAACTTTTACCGAACAGTTCCGCAATTCAAAAACTCAGTAAAACCGTACTGACTCGATTAGTGTGTAATGTATTACATGACATATTATTATTGTAATCACATTTATATAACTCAGAGCGTTTGGTACTGTATGTCCACGCATCCCTCTACCAATGTGGATTCAAGAAATGCTTCGTTGTTTGAATATTTTTATTTGAACTCATATAATTTCTAAGAATTATCTTTGCAGGAAATACAACGCAGTAGGCCTGACCGTTTTGATGTTTGTGTCACATCTCAGATTTTCTGCAAATATCAATATTAGTATCAACCTAATCATTTCCAGGATGCTTTCTCGTGCTGACTGAGTTTGTATTTGATTAGATTAGATAAAGTTCATTAACAGAAAGTGTGATTTAGCGGATAAATCGCTAAACAGCTAAACTCTAAATTAAACTTTAGGTCAATTAACTAAAATCCAAAACCTGATGTTGAAACATCATTTTCACTCTTGAATAGCCTGGTATCAAAGGTACTCCTGTCTCCTGCACAAAAAGTCGTTTTAATCTGAAATTATAAACGTTAGAAAATAAAATGATTTCCAAAAGTATGATTTAGTGGTTAGCGCTTTATGTGCCCACCTTTGATTTTCTCTGGTTCGTTTAGCATCATAATTCTGTGCGTTGACAGCAAATATCCGAAATAACAATTCTTTGAACATTGAAGCCAATTGAAGGACATGAATGGTAATGCACAGTGTAACCATTTCTTGCTACATATAAAGTCGTATTTTTGGGGGACATTTTCTTGCATATGCGCCTATCATAGTGCAATTATTATAAATTAAAGGAATCTCCCCAGGCGCAGTCGTTATTGCGGTAATTTTCAACTTACAAAATCCCACAACGGCTAAATTCGATGATACGGTATTATTACTTCATTTGCTCCCTCGTTATCACGTTCAATTTAACGCTCCGTAGAGTTCCTCCTCAGCCAAACCAAGCAACCAAGCTGCTGTCTTAATTCAAAACACGTGCACAAGTATACCTTCTTGGCCAACTGTGATGCTCATAGATTTGTCATTCTTACCTGCCGCATATGTATGCAATTCGCTTTCTATTGTGTCTGCGACTCAAATCGGATTATATCATCACATCCTTCGTTGCACATTTCCATTGTGTTGTGTTGCAACGCGATGATGGCCCCTTTTTGAGGCGCTACTCTACCGTCACAAATTAGAGCACCTAATTTATTATGCGATATTTTTCAAAAAACCACCACCTTTTTTAAGGTTTGCAAAGTTTTCTACTGAATCGGTTTTTGACTTTGTTCATCAGTTTTGTAATTGTACGGCACCAGTTCAGACAACATGCTGCATTCCGCTTTAGTCGTCTTTGGTAGAACCGGCTCGATAATCGGCATTAGTCTGATGTTCATGATGATGGTTATTCCGAGGGTTAGTACGGGACAAGCGGAGAGTGGAAACAGCAGCATTCTAATCCAGCATCGATTGTACCAGAGCAAACAGATGCTGATGGACAGTGAAGCGGATATTTTGGCATTCAGTGAAAACCATAAGTTCAGGAGTGCCAGGAGACAGCGCGAGCCGAAGTTCATCAGTTTTAACACGAAAAATGATAACATTGAGGTATGAGAACGCAGAACTTAAGGTGTTTCGCTGTGAGATCCTTATTCTCGTAACCACTTCGAAACTTTAAGTGCACAAATATCAGCTTCTACTATACGTACCACAATGAAACTGTTACTCCCCGTTTGCTGTACTGCAGCATACATGAAGTAGCAATTTCCGGTGAAATGGGGCATTAATTTCCGAGATTTGTGTTACTGAAAAATCGAAGTGGAAGTGCATGTATAGCCAACGTGGTGGTCATTTGTGGACTCTACAAGGAATCACCTTAAGCATGTTGCTAAATTAGCAACTAAAGATCCGCGGGTAATATTCATTCAACATTGGTAATACCGCGCTTTTCAGGTTGAAATGGATTTTAACATTCCGTTCCTTTCAATCCCCGTGAAAGATTCCGTTGATGGAGTTATGCAGTCAGTTAAGAAGGTGATGTTTCCATACTCGATAAACACACACACACACACACACATATTAAAGGACATATTTTAGGGTCTTCCTGCACTGAATGTGAACGTTGGAGCGGTTGTCCTAGCGGGGGCCCTCGCAGTTGCAGGTGCCATATTAGGTATGGTGGTGCGACTCTTCAAAGACGGTGATATGATGAGGCCTCTTGAATCGTGGGGCCTAATGCGATCAGCAAACAAAATGGAACGGGGTAAGCTTCAAACTCAATCTACTATCAACATCCGAGTAATGATGGTACCAAAATCTTCTCCGCAGCCTCCGATCACCCCAGCTGGAGCTCAATTTGGACGGTGCTGGAAGCTGTGGACAAGAGCTTACAGAAATTCGACATTGACTCGACGGCTTGTACGCAACGGGCGACCTGTTGGTACGTGAAGGAAGCTATGAACAACGTCAACGAGAACCGTGCTGACAAGCTGGACACCGTCATCAACGGGCTGAGTAAAGCAGATTGGGCATTGCAATTTACCACCGGTACCGCAATTGACGATGCGATCCGCGTCGGAAGACGAAATCTCAATTGCGAGCAAGCGTTTCCATCGTGTCGAATCAAACCAGAAACGGTGCAAAGAATTCTAAAGTTGACCAAGTCGAGGAGGAAGTAATACTTTCCGTGTCAAGCTAATTGGAAGCCTAAATGTATTTTTAAAACTTAATAAAGGTCAGTAACAGGTCTAGTAATCAAATGATTCATGGAAATCGGGTAGTGGCATCACTTCCATATCGTCGCCGCGCTTGGCGTCCTTCTCCAGCAGGAAATCGATCACAGCTTTTGCGTTGACTTTGACAGCATAATCTAGGGGTGTTAGTCCGAGGTAATCTACAGCGTTGACTTCTGCATAGTTTTTAACCAAATACTGAGTGACATCCAGGTTTCCGTACATAGCAGCGACGTGTAGTGCCGTTCGCCCGCTAGGATCACTCTGGGAGAGGTCCGCCCCAGCGATACGGTACGATTCCAGCCGATTCAGCAGATTCCGGGCAGCAGCACTGCACAAACTCTCGCCTATCGCTCGAATCGATCCAGTCAAGTGAGCTCCGCATTTGAGCAGCAATCGGATGACTTGGTAATTATCGTTCACGATGGCATCCATCAGTGGCGTCCGGTCGTAGCGATCCCGGATGTGGACGGCAGCTCCGTTCTGTAGTAGATATTGGACGACTTCCAAGTTACCTTCGCAGCATGCTACGTGCAGAGCTGTTCTCCGATCATAGTTCTCAGCCGATAGATTCGCTCCGTAGCCTTTGAGGTTGTTGATCTGTTCGAAGAAGGTCTCAGATGAGTCTACGATACTACTAGAAGTAACTTAACGAACCTTTGAAATGTCTCCTGCAAGAACTGCGCTATTCACCATTGCTGGAAACAGTGACGATTTCAACTGGATCAACTCTTTGGCTGAATTCAGCTGTAGAGTTCGGGCAACTGCATCTATAAGATCGAATTCTTGCATGTCTGGTGTCTTCTCGTGAGTTAATTCCCCGCGAAGATTGCTCTTAAGCATCTAAAAGATTTCGAAAAATTAAAATCTTCGTGAAATTCTGACCAAACAATCAATAACTTACCAACTTCTTCGTTTCGAGGTTCCAATTGTCCTTACTGAGGACGTACGCCAACTTGGCCAGCGCCGCTTCCGGTGTCATGTCGAACCCGGGAACGACGCCGATGTCGTGCAGCTGCCGTCCGGTTTCGTAGAGATCGCAAACTGATCCTTCATTGCACTGGGTACAGTTCACGATCAGCACACCGCGCTCGGATGCGTCTCGGAATGCTCCCACCAGATCAGCCCTATTCGAGGGAATATTTCCGGCTCCATAGGTCTGTAGTACCACCCCTCGCATCGGGGGTTGTAGGAATGCCTTTACCGTAGCCATTGAAATGCTGGGGAACAGCCGCAGCAGGCCTACATTCTCGTCCATCTGCACGTGTACATTGAACTTCTCTACGGTGCAAGGACGGAAGATCAACCGGTAGTCGATCTCCATGTTGATTCCTATTTTTGCCAGCGGCGCTGCGTTCGGCGAGTTAAACGCATCCAGCGAGCCGCTGCTCACCTTGATTGTTCGATTACCTCGGAACAGCCGACTGTTGAAGAAAACGCACACTTCCGGAATGACGTAGTTTCCCGCTAGGATCAAGGCAGAGGTGAAGTTATCCTTCCCGTCGGTTCGTGTTTCAAAGATGGGTATTTGCGATCCAGTTATGATCACCGTCTTGCCGAGATTCTCAAACATGAAGGAAAGTGCCGAAGCAGTGTAGGACAGAGTATCCGTTCCGTGCAGAACTACAAAGCCGTCGAAGAACTCGTACGAATGCTGGATATCGGTGGCGATTCGGACCCAATCGGTCACGCCCATGTTGGCAGAATCGAGAAGGGGTTCATACTCGCAGATTTGGTACAAAATTCGTCGATGTTGGCCTTCTACGTAGGGAAGCACCAAGGGAGCCATATTCTTCGCTGGACCGTATCGTTTGGAAGCGTAGGCATCATCGTGCATGTTAGGATAATGGCGAATTTTGCGAACAAACTCGTTAGGTCTGGGTTCCAAAGCTGTAACGAAAACAGGAAATATTTACCACTAGAATGACGCACAATAAATATACGAGAATACGCTGTTTTCTAAGTTTGTTTGAGCTTCGCGTTAGAACTGCATCAATAGACGAGTTGAAGCCGATCAGTAGTAGCCAAGTAGCAACAACAAATGAGGTAACTTTGGTCCCATACCATCATTTAACACCTTTTGACTCACCATGCTTCTCGTTTCGCATCATACCGATCGTACCACCGGTATAGATGACCAGCACTTTTGCTTCCGGACTCTCCGACGGCAGCTTCCCATAGCTGGAGTTTCGCCGCATTGAAAGCTTGCTAAGATCAAGACTTCCGGTAGGAGTGGTGTCGATCAGTGGCTTCCGTTGCCACGGTGATCTAACGTGCGGGATGCCGTTTCCGTTGATTGCACTGGCTTTCGAGACCGAACCGTTACTGGACGTTACCGTGGGGATACGCATCACTAGCCCTCCATCGTCGTCGGTGTCCGACGGGTTCGTTGTCGTGCTATCCACTCGAACCGGACTGGACATTTTGGTGAATTAGTGAAACCTGCAATGGAATGTCGAAGAAGGAAATCCTAGACAATAAAAATGACAAAGTCATGGATCGCAGAAACGTCGTCGTCTTTGGGTAGCGAAAATTGGTCAACAACTCAGCACACTGGGAACGCTTAATACTTTCGCAACTGTTGGATCGAAGCTTAAATGACTCTTTAAATCTTCGAGCAATCCATGGACACCGATGTCTTTCAAAACTCTCGCAACTCCACGATCTTTAAAACATGTTGAGCTGTAAAAAAATCCAAAAACTATCGGAAGTTCCGAAACTTACAGAACTCTCCAAACTGTAAGAATCGCTTTAAAAATTTCATGAATTCTCTGAACACCAGATACTTTAACACCTCTATGAAACTCTGGTACTGCAGTAGATATTGGAAGTCCTGGGACTTCAAGAACTATTGATATTGATGCTGCTCTGGGAGAAGTTCTGGAACTTCTAGCTCTAAAAGAAAATTTAAGGAATTCCAAGGAATCACCACACCTCAGGAACACTCAAAACAAAACACTCAGTACTTCGAGAACTATCAGGCTTTGCGAATCCTCGAAGTTCCGATTATTTCACTGGTTTCTATTGTCTCGAAAGTTCTTTTCTGCAGTACTAAAATTTTCCGGAATTTTTGAAGATCCTTGGAATCATGAAACCTCTCGGGAGATCGAAGTTGGCTCTGGTCACGAGCGAACGTGTTTGTTTTTTCACTGTCATATTTTTTCGCTTGTTTCGGCCAAAACTGATGTGCAAATAAATAGTTTTAATTAGTGATAGCCAAACATTCAAATACGACTCCACTAGAGTGAAGCGAAAGTGACCGTGCGCCGTGAAAAAACGTATCAGTCGGATCGTACTCTGTCCGTGTGTTCTACATATTTATAGTACGCTCAGACTACAGAGTTATAACACAGAGAACAGACATGGAGGCTCGAACAAAATTTCACTAAAAACTTGTGTAAAGATTCCTATTCGACTTAAGCGCCACTAACGGCGACTTCCCCACTTAAAAACCCTCTTTGACAACATGATGGCGCTGGCGTTGCACAAATTACACTAGACACTAAGTGCTAGTAGCGCCAAGTGGCAATTTTCAACAGAAAATTTATCGATACTAGCGCCAAAGTGGAAAATTTATAGAGAAAATCAGGAGATGCTAACACCACGTAACGGCGACGTTCCCACTTATTTTACACAAGTTTCTGACCGAGCTTGAACGTCTGTTCTCTGTGGTTATAACATGTTATAGCGCTATCTTGATGGTGGTTTCTGTGTTGCAATTATTTGACAACCGTTATAACATGTTATAACTCTCCAGTCTGGACAGCGTTTTATCGTCACCAAGCCCATTATTGTTCGGAAAAGGGATGGAAGCTCTGATATTCTTGGACTGCCGTGCTCTAATTAGGGGAAATGACGGCTTCGGCATGCCAGACTATTTTCGGCAACCCAAATTGAAACACTATTTTCACTGGATTTTCTTACGAAAACACTTCGCTGAATGCATGCAAACGATTCCTTATGCTTTCAGCTTCAGTTTGACTATATTTTTACCACTGAGAAAAAGCAATCTAGCAAGGTTTTCTTGAAATGAAACACACGCACTACAAATTGTAGCTGATTTCGAGTTGCCGATAATAGAACAGCAGATTTACATGCAGTTCAAATGGAACGGTTGCCGAAGAAAAACTGGTTGCCGACAATACTCGCTCTCACTAGAGAAGATTGGAGCTTTGTAAAAGCGTTTCAAAACAGTTTTTGACAATTCTTTCGACTGAAATTGTTAGAGCAGCTGGCAGCAAAAGATTGTAAACAAACCAATACTGCATATGTGTGCGTTCCATAGAGAAAAAGACTATAGAAAGAAGGTCGCTGCTTAGGTTGCCGAGAATACGTAAATTCCTCTATAACCACGAATCCTGGCAGCCAGTCAATGGACGTGTGCGTGCTTTCACTCCACGTTTGTTTGTTTGTTTAGAAGCAGTTTTGAAAATTATGCTTATTCTCAGAGATCCCTATCAGGGTTCACGTAATACCAAGTAATGTACAGCAACAATAGCTGGTTCTCCGATTAAGTGGCAGTTACGAAAAAAATAAATCTCAATTGAACCTCCAACATTCAATCTTCCGGTCCGATACAGCCACACCAAGAAGAAGCAACCAAAGGAGTACTCCATTTGAAGCTAGGAAAAGTTGATGATCACACGAGCAGACCAGTTTTGGTGAGGAAAATTAGGAATTTGATGAGCATTTGGCATTTGGTGAGATCCTTCAATTATACTATGTATATTATATAAAGCATTCATTACATCACATTAAATTCATTCTTACATAACTTGGAGCATTTGGTATGATATGTCCACGCATCCTTCCACCCCTGTAGATTCATGAAATGCATCGCTGTTTAAATATATTTATTTAAACTCGAATCACTTCACAGAATTATCTTTGCAGCAAATGCAACGCAGTAGGCCCAACAATCAATACGAAACTAACGACTTTAAATTGGCTCACCACTTTAGTAGCCTATTGGTCCCAAGCAAACGATTAACGTACCCTATTCTAGTTGAAATTCTATTACTACACTATGTTTGTTTTGATTCGCTATGAAAGTTTGACAGATAACATCAGGGGTGTGTGGATTCATGCAGAACATGCAGGGGTGAGTGAAATAGCTTGGGACTGCTTGGGACCGTTGTTCTGGTACTGAGTGAGCCAAAAATAATAATGATTTTCTTCGGGACCCAGTGGTCTTAGAGTTACCTCTATGGTAGGCCTATAGTCACTATATTCATAGTCTGGCGGAGACAATGACGGGAGCCAATTTGAGCTGTCCCTTGCGGGAGCCAATCGAGCACTGTTTCTTTATAGATCAATGTGGTCGAAGTATTGTGATCGTCACGATAAATAAATCGAACAAAAATTAAACCAATTAAGTTGATAATTTGTCAATGCATTTCTGAATGCTATTTTTATGTTTTTCATGGAGAACATCGACACGGCTAATGCGTAGACGACAAATAATATACTTTTTGATAGATTTTTTACGGATGGAATGGTAATTTTGCAGGCAGCCGTTGAAAAGTGTAAGTTGATCGATATTCTTTTAACACATTTCCTCCTATTCCGCCTAAAATTGTTTACATTGATATTCATACTGCACAGACGAAAAAAAAAATATGTTGCGCACAACGAAAACCTTCTGCAAACTCTTGAACATTTTCACGGGGTGCCTGATTATTATTGAATAAGTCAAAGTTGCCAGTTGGCAGGATTTTGTATCCGCCAGACTATAAATATAGTGACTATAAGTAGGCCTGGCCGTTTTGATGTTTGTGCCATATCTCAGATATGCTGCAAACATCAATGTTGACAAGAAACATTATTAGGCGTATCTTTTGTATTCCAAAACCTGCTCCAGCTTCTAATTGAAAGTGGAACTTTGAGATTTGGGTGTAATTGCTTTTGTAAACAAACAAGTCAATCGCCGATTTCTCTCGAATAAACGCTCAATCTCGCAAACAAACTATACCAAATTGTTCGGATCGATAAAGAACTATTTTTTTGCAGCAGTCGATTTGTAGACAACAGCTCAAAAATCAATAGTTTTCCCTTGCAATAGTGTTACCAGTGTTCTGTTTTTACTGCTCTCTTCACCTTTATCCCTAATTTTCACCCACGCTTTCACTGTATTTAGCTACTTTTACTAAATTAATCTGATCAAATTTAATAATGTCCACATCCAGAATCACTTTTCTCCGAATTAATTTACTATTGTTTTTATCCTGTTTTCCTCTTCGTTCATATCCAGTAGCTGTTGACAGCTACACTCAGGTTCACATTCTCCCTCTCTGCGCATGTATTAGTCGCCAGCTATGACGTCACCGGTGCCTCAACAGCCCCCCCACCGTAACACTGGCGCAGGCTCCCCGATGGAGCCAGATTTACCGCTCCGTATCTCAGGCACCGCTAACTTAGCGACCGGTCGTCGGTAGACTCCTTTAGATGTACGGACCACCGCCTGCCTGATCCTGCCGTCGACTCCTCGCTTCACTTCTTCCACTATCGCTCGTACCCAGCACTTCCGGTTGTTGTCATCCGCTATGAAGACTATCTCACCAACTTCCAACGGATGTTGTTCGCTGTGCCGCTTCGTACGCTGGTTGAGGTGCGGAAGACACTCGACTAGCCATCGTTTCCACAGGCGATTAGCCAGTATCTGCGAACGCTCGTGGCTGTCTCGTAGTGCTTTGACTTCGTCGCTAGGTGGCACGATACATTCAGTTTCGCTTTCCTGTTGCCCCTTGAGGAAACTGTTTGGAGTTAACGATCCAACATTTCCTACGTCTTGTGGCCTGAAATTAATCATATCCTCGGCCTCAGCCATGGTCGTGAGAAGCACTTCATCCGTTAATTTACGACCATCGTCCAATACCTTCATCGCCTCCTTCACTGATCGGACCAGCCGTTCCCACACTCCACCGAAATGTGGCGCCGAAGGTGAGTTGAAATTCCGTGTTAACGCTTCTGAACAATCTGTTTCTATTCTCTTCACAATCTCCTTACTCGCACCAACAAAATTTGTTCCGTTGTCAGAGAAATATTCAACAGGAACTCCCCGTCGACATACGACACGTCGGATAGCCATCAGACACGCCTGCGTAGAAAGACTATGAGCCACTTCCAAATGAATAGCCCGTGTTCCAAAGCACGTAAACAACATACCCCAACGACAACGATGATCGGGCCAAAAAGGTCCACTCCGGTGTAACTGAACGGTCGAAGGAAAGGAGTCGTTCGCTGGTTTGGAAGTGGTGCCATTCTCAATCATGTTTGAGTTGTTTTAAAAGCTTTAATTCACGAGCAATCGGCGATTGACGGGTATGTTTACAAAATCAATTACGCCCAAATCTCAAAGTTCTCCGGATATGTTTAGCTGTGAGAACCTTCCATGACAATCAGCGTTGCCAGGTCATTTTCAGAAAAATCTGGACCAGGTAAAA